ACCCCAATAAAGAGAACGATATATCTAAGGTCGCATGGCACTATGTCACAAGGAGCCCACTAAAGGGGGGCCTAGGGATTATAGACCCCAGAACAGAAACCAAAGCCTTACAGATTAAGTGGATCTCCTGATGAATCCGGATAGCGCATGGCATAAGCTAGCATTGGACAGCATCAGATCACTAGCCCCGGTACCCTCACCAGAAAGCATGTCAGGACTGTTCTGGGTGATGAATAAAGATTGGACCATAGCCACGGGCAGAAGAAATCGAAACAGACCAGAAGGATATAGGCCGGCTACCCCTTACTGGACAGCCCTACTTCAAATCTGGCGAAAAATAATTCCAAACAAATCGAGTAGACCGAGATCTAAAGATGAAGTACTAAGACAGCCACTCTTTGGAAACCAATGGGTGACTAATGAAGGTAACGACCCCCTGTTCTTAGAACACAGATGGCTCTCCTGGGTCAAAAATGGCATATGGAAAATTGCACACATATGGAATGAAGACAGGAAAGAATGGAAGACAGAACAGGAAATCAGTTCACAACTGAAAGGATGCCACAAACGAGGACCCAACCTCCGCTATATTGTCAGCCGTATCCCACAAGATTGGAAAGATATCCTAGTAGAGGCAGCCCCATGGAAACCTGGAGAATGGGGAATCAAGATTCAAGAAACAATCCCTTCGAGAGCCTTCCAATTCTCCCACATGCAACAAAACTTTCTACTCAAAAAGATAAGAGTCCTTGGCTCATGGCCCAAATCAATCTTCAGACCGGATACAGCAATCCACAATTTAGAATTTGATCCAGCAGAATGGGCATGGATGCCGGACAAGACTAAAAATATCAAATCCAAAATCCCAATTCACGATTATATGGTCAAACTAGGGTACAGACTATCACTGAAAACTAAGGACCCCCACCCGATCATTAAAGAAAGATGGCACAACCTACTGGGCCAAGAGGCAGACAATATCACCCAGATCCAATGGTAAAAATTCCAACTTATCAGGCCAATGAAAATCCGGAGCTTACAGTGGCTAATCACCTACGTAGCACTACCTGTGAATCAATGGCTACACAAGAGTCGTATGAATTCAGATCCTAACAGCACAGAATCATGCATGGTCTGTAATAACGGGTCGACAGAGGATTTGATCCACTGCCTAATACATTGTAGGGAGGCGACAGACTACTGGGCAAGAGCATCGGCACTCTGGGACTCACTTTTCACAACCCCCTTCCCCGAACATCCCATTCAACTTCTCCTCTTGACTAACATCCCTCAACAGCTTCATAAGGCAGAAAGAGTTTGGTTTGGTCTCATCAGAAAGACTACAATGTGGGTCATATGGAAGGAAAGATGCAGCAGAATGATTGAAGGACTGTCTAACCCACGTGAAAAAGTGTGGGTAGAGACAAAAGTGATGATACAGGCCGAAATCCTCTGCAGATGGAGGAAGATAAAGCAGGCTTGGACAGAGGATGAGGAACGACGTAAGAAGGAGAGACTGTCCTTCAACAAGAACTGGTTGATAAACGGCAAGATTGCGGAGCTACAAGAAGACCATATTCGCTGGAAAGAATGGCACAACTCAACTCCTGGAAGGATTCACCAACAAGAGACAACCGCTGAGAGACAGGACGTTCCAAGACCAGACATCTAAGAAGAATGAACAAGACGGGAATAAGGGCCTCATACAGTACAGCTCAACTCGGAAATTGTATCTCCGGACGAGGGTTTAGGGTTCAGGGTTTTTGAGGAAAGAGGCGTTTAAAGGCAAACTGGAGATGCGATCAGACAAGCTAAAAGACTGACAGGGAAATAGGGGAATGAAAAAGGGAGAGGGAGGAAAGGAGAAGGAGGGAAGTGTAACAAAATAGGAAGAGAGGTAGTAGCCAGGCAGGAGAGGCGTAATGTTGAGACGGAGGGTATTGTGGATTACGGACAGGAAGGCCGAGTAAAGGCTAGCTTGGACATGGGGTAACTCTTTCTAGGAAGCAATGATATACTCGACAGATCTGGTTACCTGATTTGAGAGGAAAGAGAGAGACATGGCAAGCTGGCAGTCAATCCTCCACCAAGGTGGAGCAATCAATGCTGACCAGGGGTCCTTTGGCCAGACGGAAGGAAGCGTGGGTGGTGTATGGTTATTGTAACAATTATTCTGACTTGCCGGTGGAATAGGAACCGGACTGTCGCTCCCCAGAATGGAAAGGAGCCAGGACCATAAGGCCCTGTTTTATTAAAAAAAAAAGAAAAAAAAAAGAAAAAAAAAGTAAGCAACCAATGCACTTAAACGAAGCATGGCTCCTGTTACAACAGCAGGTCGAGACCGAGTATTGGGTCATATGGCGCAAAGCAAGAAGAGGAATAGAAGCAAACGAACCCACTGGAAAGGAACAGAAACAGAAATTCGAAGAAAATTACCTAGCAAAGGGTAAAATAGCCCACATCAAGGGTCGAAGTCTAATCTTTACAGTCTGGGAAGGCACTCCCCAAGCATTTCAATCAGACACAGAGTTCTTCAACAGCATACCAGACTCCGTTGCCCACATGAACTCCCCCTAGGTTGGAGAAGTCAAAGCATAGATCACCTAAACCACAGCCCCCACACACCCCCGGACCATACTCGGCTAGCACACACTCAGATCAAGGACTCCTACGACAACCCCCATACAGATAACTAGTGTCAGACCCACTTCATAGCCCCACTCACTAACAACCTAGCGCCAACGTCAAGCTAATCTCCCGACTAACCGAGCTAGAGGCCAGACTTCGAGCAGGCAACTAGTAAAGGTAAAATATGGGCAATACCAACCACCCTACGGAACCCAACAACCCGAGGAGTAAGGACTAGACCAAACAGATCAGGCCAACTCAGTAGAGACACTTCAAATAGAGAATAGCATGGATCAGCCTTAATTTGAGAAAATAGACAGAGAGGCAGAGAAGGATAAAAAATAGGGTTTAGGGTTTTGGGAATAGAAGTCTGAAGAGACCCACAGAGACAAATAGACACGGTAGTCACATCCAACTTGCAAACCAGTCAGTTAACAGGGCAGGTTAGCGACTCCAGAAGTTAAATCTGACCAGGCAGCCGAATAGCTGAGAGGAGTAAGCTAGTCGAGCCTCATTTTACAAGTCAAGTGCTTCAATCAGAGTCAGCAGGAAACAGCTTATCCCCTATACCCAGAAACCAAGTCAGGCAGGCTAACTTAGGCAGGGGTAAGGGGTGGTACATCCTTCCCTAAAGGAAGTAATCAATGCCGTCCACTTGGGCCTCCCAACCATGATGGGGAGGAGCGTGCGTGGTAAATTTTGTATCATTCTTGACTTGCCGGGGGAATAGGAACCGGCAGTTTATTCAGTTGGTTAGAATTTTTGAAGCCATCTGTGGAGCTGGCCTGTCTTTCATTACCTGGACGCCCAGATATCTGGTAAGGATGTCTGATCTTTCTCACATCATTTGGCTAGTTGGGCCTTGCATTTGAGACGTCGGACCATCTGCTAACCACCACCCTATTGTTTTTGTTCAATTCAGCTTCATTTCTGAAGCCAATCTGAACGCTTTAATTGCCCTGGCTCGCGCTCTGAAGGATGAGTCTGAGGGTCGGATGAGAACCGCCAGGTGGTCGACAAACATGATTGTCGTGGGGAAGGTTAGGTGGTCGAGAGTCCCAGTATTGAATCCGGGAAGCCTTTGCATTGAGACGTCTTTGCGAAGGAAGGATGCTGTTGCTTCCATTACAAAAAAAAAAGAAAGAACGGTCGAGCTAGGGGTCTCCCTGTCGGACTGATCTTAAGATGTGATAGCTATCTGATATTAGTCCATTGATTTGGACACAGCCCATGGCATCCTTGTAGAGGACTCTGATTCATTTTCTGAACTTAGGACCAGCTCACATTTTTTTTCCATATGCGCATCAAGGAAGGCCCAATTGAATTGGTCATATGCTTTCTCAAAGTTAAAACAAAAACGGAATGGCAGTCTGCAATACTATGTATTTCCGTTTCTAGTACACTTTTGGAGGCTTTGCTAAGTGCAAGAACGTTGTCTAACATGAACCTCCCTGGAATGAAACCCACTTGCTTGATCGATGTGGAACATTTGTCGGTAAGGTTTAGGATTCTAAAGGCTAGCTAGGGCTTTGGCTAGGATTTAGGTACTACTCCCTGCCCAGACTAGAGTAGTAGATAATGTGGTGGTGTCTATCCCTTCGAGCAGAGATCGAGAAGTCACTTTGCAGTGTGTAGGTAGCTAGTGTGAGGCAGAAATATATCGAGAGAAGAAAATAGTGTAGTGAATATTCCTGTCCCCCATATATGAGGAGAAGGCAGCGTGAAAAACAAAAAAGGTCTATAGTAGACTCTATACTACTCTATAGTTTCGAACATCCTCTCAGTCTCCCTTTTTTGTAGAGCAGGGTTACGACACTGCCGTTGAGAAAGTCTCCCATTTCGTCCCTGTCCCAACTGTCCTTGTAGACGTTCATGAGATCCAGTCCGATAGTGGGCCATATTGTCTCCCATAGTTCTTTAGGTAATCCATCTACCCCTAGCCTAGAGTGTTGTTGTTGATCATATGTTGTAGGGCAAATTGAAACTCCTCCATTTAGAATTTTAGAGGTGTTTATCTAATAACTAGTAATAAGTTAGTAATAACTCACGAAAAAAGAATGGTGGTTGTCTTAATCCACAAACATCTCATAAAGATCATGCAAACCTGATACAGTAGACTTGAAAATCCATAAGTACAGTAGGTGTGAGTGGGTAGGTAGGTGGTAAGTATTCCCTACAGCTTAACAAGTGAATCTCGGCACTGTGTACAGTACGACGAACTGTAGCTCGCCTTTGTAGCATGTGAATTGTCTTGAATGCAGAGAAAAAGCACAGAGAATTGTGGAAGACGGAATTGAGGAATGACACCAAAACACATTGACAAAGTCACCGACTGAATGAGAGAAAAAAAAAGCTGTCCCTCCTGCCATCACCTCAAAATGCATCCCCGTAGAAGCACGGAAGTACCGCTTGTTCGGACTGTTATTCAGCGCCAGCTTTGAAAGATCGTCCTCCATGCCATTCCCCCCATCTAACCTCAGCAATCTCTCTGCCCGACTTTCTGCCGTTGGAATGTCTGACCTCTTCGACACAAGGCAGTTATGTCGCTCTGATGTTAGGGACTTCAGCACCACCTAAAATCCAGCACATCGCAAAACAAACACAGAGTTCAAGGTACAGTCAGTTTTATTTTTCACCCAAACAGCATCCAGCATTTACTCAACATTCACCCAATGCCCTCTACCAACTCATCGAGTTAGTCAGTGGAAATTAGCAAGCCATTGAAAGTATCCGGCATTTATAAAAAAAACTGCCAGCCTTCCAGAGTCCACAAACCACCACAAAAGCAAATTTTCAAAAGTGAGTCTAGTCTAGGGGTCAACAAGCCTCTGTAGGGGTAGATTCAAACATAAAGGCCCTTCGACAGGTAGAAATAGGGTCTATGATGATTGCATCTCAGGGTCGGTCTAGTTAATATGAAGGGCCGCAAATCCATCCCAAAACGTCCTTAGAGCGACAGAACTGAGGTCAAGCAGGCCTTCCAGACACACAGGCCCTATCTAGGCTCAGCAAAGAGTCAAAGATTTCTCCAGAAAGCAATTCTGGCCACAGATCACACACATCCAAGGGCCAGGAGAAGTTTCCGGATGCATCCTAGCGTACTGGGTCAACAGCCTCAAACAGCAGCTGCATCCCAGCTGCTCGTGGCATTTGATCTCAGCCATCTCAAGGGGCTCAGCCAGGTCAGCTAAGACGTCCACTCATGCATGACACATTCTCCCTGGTGCAGACCTCTTGAGCTGTGCGCCATGTGGCCTTGCCGCCACCAGTGAGGAGATAGAGGTGTTAGAGCAGTCAACCACAGTAACAGTAAGTAGGAGGAGAGAGAGAGAGAGACTGGGAGAGGGAGGTGGCAGGGCAAGCAGCCATAGCTATTATCAGTGAGTAGGAGGGGAGAGAGAGTCTCGGACAGGAATCAGATGAGGGAGAAGAAGCCTTAGGGTAGAAGAAGCTTACCTGGTGACTGGCGATCATAGCCGCATGAAGACAAAGACTTCACGGAACCAACAGCCATGGTCACATGAAAAGGAATACTCCATGAAGCTCACAGCCACAGCCTCATGAAGAAAACGACTCCATGAAGTTGGCGGCCATAGCTGCATAAAGAAGAGGACTGCAAAGCTTCCATAGACCAGCATTCCTCACCCAAGGTTCAACCTGTTGATGATTTCCTCCCAGAGGTGGGGAGGGGAGACTAGGATGACCTCATCCTCGTGTTCAAGGAAGGCAAAGCCAAGCAGGTGTCTTGTACGACGAGGTAGAGTATGATTGCAAACACGAGATACGGTCAATTTTTTCAGAGTTCCCATATCTCGTGTTTGGTTCTCCACACTTTTTTTTTTTTTTTTTTTTTTTAAATAAGGAAACAGGGCCTTAAGGTCCTGGCTCCTTCTATTCTGGGGAGCGTCAGTCCGGTTCCTATTCCACCGGCAAGTCGAAAGTACATTATATGAAGAAAGACTCACACACGCTTCCTTCCGTCAGGCCGAAGGACCCCTGAACAGCATTGATTGCTCCACTGCAGTGGAGGATTGACTGTCAACTTGCCCACTCCCTTCTCTTTCCTCTCAGATCTGGGTACCAGATCTGCCAAAAAACGCCCTTGAACCAAGAAAGAGTTCATCCAAAGCCCTTGTCCGTCTGTTCCCACCCCGCTCATCCCCCTGCCCCTTTGTATGACTCACGCTCTATCTTTCGAGCTTAATACTTTCGTCTGCCGTCCCGTCTTCCGATCGTCTCACCTTTGGCCCCGACAGGGCTTGGATTGCTTTCTGCCTTTTGTGCTGAAATCCTTTCTTGTAGCCCTCGTTCCTGGTCTGTTGTAGTCGTGGTCCCCGATTCCCCCTGCTTTCCCCCCGTTGCCTCTTTGTCTGTGCTCTCTGGGGCTCTTGAGGGTTGTATGTCTTCGTTTTCAACCAATGATGCCAGTATGCCTTCCAACTTTGACTGTTGATGAAAACCTCTTTCTGGGGTACTGTGCCCATTTCTCCAGCATAACTTGAGCCTGGCGCAACTAACCATCCTTGCCTTATTCCAGCTGATTCTTATACATGGAGTGTCTCTCTTTTTTGGCGTTATTCTTCCCTCTCTGTCCCGATTTGTTTGAACTTCCTCCGTCTGCATAGGGTCTCCGCTTGACGCGTTGTTCTGATTACTGACTGGACTTTCTCTCTTGGGTTGGACCATCTTCCAGTTGTTCTGCTGCGCTTCTCCTTCCATTTGCTCCACCGGGGCACTTTCCAGATGAATAGAAACCTGTTTCCTTCTGTCTTCTATGTCTAATTTGGGATGTTAGTCGAGGGGAAAACGCTGAGTAGGTTGAGCAGAGAAGGGAGACGTGGGCAGGGGGACCAGAAGTGAAGAGGCTCTTGTCCAGTTATTTTGTCCTTTCTTTACTTTCGAGTAATCCATGATCCACCTCTTATGTGACTCATTCGGTACCGACTGTTCATATCCTTAGGCATTTAATCGAGTTCGAAGGTGTAGAAAAGCATTAGGTGGCCGAGAATTTGGTAGCACCTTTCTTATTGTTAGTCCCAGTTTGTAAAGAGTAGAGTACCTCCATCAATTTTTGCGATTCTGTTCTCCAAGAGCCATGTTTTTTTAAACTTTCTCAAACTCAGTTCTTTCTTGTCTGGTAATACTATCTTCTGTTGTTCCTTTTGCTCTTGGATCCAGCGTGCTCTTACTTCCGTTTGTATTATGTTTTTTATTTCCGCCCATTTCTCTTCTAAGGCTGACGATTGCCCTTCAAGAGTGGCTTTGCACCTTGCTTTCCAGATTGCCCAGAGCGTTGCTCTCCTCCATAGGTCCGCCATTACAAGTGCACTTTCCTCTAGTTCTTCGCTTTCCCGTCTTCCGGTTAAGAGATACAGGGGATTGCTGGGGAGATTTTGGTTTGTTAGCTTTTGCCAGAGGTTTTTAACTTTATTCCATACTTCTTGAGCTTGTTGGCATGATATTAGGCAGTGGACCAGAGATTCTTCGGCATGGTCATCACACCATCTGCACAGGGACATTTGTTGTTGGGGATCCTGTTGTTTTCTCCTTTTAGCCAACCATTGGTTGACTGGCACAGCCCAATACAGAATGAGCCACTGCAGGCTTCTGATCCTTACTGGTCTTACACTTGTGTACTGATTCCATGGGATTTTATTCGTCCAGCCTGCGTTTTCGCCCAAGTTTCTTTTCCACCTTTCTAAGATTACTGGGAGTGGATCCTTTGTAAGGTTGCCCAGTTTGTAGCCTGTTTTAACTTCATAATCATATATTGGGGTAATCCTTTTGGCTCTCCCTGAAGTGCTGGGTACCATCCATCCCCATTCCGCTGGGTCTACTTCTAGATCTTTGATGTCAAGGTCTGGTCTGTAAAGCCGGGTTCCATTTATATCTGGGTGGTTTGCAAAGTTTTGATTTCTGTACTTTTTGAGTGCACATGAGCGTACCCTTTTAAGGGTATTGAGGTTTTCCGTCGTCCTTGGTTCTATTACCCTGACTGGTGATACCCAGGATTTGTGTAGTTCTGCTAATTCGTATGTAGCGAAGTCTGCTTTTCCGTCCTGCCCATCCGTTATTTGGAGCAGTTTATAAGCAATGGTAGGAGGGTCTGATTCAATTTCAGTTTTTGTGGCCCAGTCTCCTACTGCCCACTTTTTTTTGCTTTTCAGGAGGAGAACCCATTTCAATGGGACACTTTCCCGTAGTCTTGCTAGCTGTTCTTTCAGCTTGTGAATCCCTTTGAGTTTAGTACGGAGGTCTTGCTCTGTCATCCATCTGTTTTGCTCTGAGTTCCATATGTGTTCTATTTTCCACACTCCCTTGCTCATCCACTTCCTCCAATGTTTACCCTTTGTGTTTAAGGACCATGGTTTATGATTTTGGTCTGTTAGCAAGGGGTTTCCAAAGAGCGGCTGTCTTAGAACTTCTCTTATTCTTGGTGTTCTTATTTTTTGCAGGAGGCAGGTCCTCCAGTGTTTTGTTAATGTGGCCCAGTGCTCGCTTGTGGGATCCTTATCTTTTGCCTGCCTCCCCCCCTCTTTTCTTCTCGGGTTCCAGGAGGGGTTGAGGAGCCAATGGTACCCTTCAATGGAAGGGTCTACTTTGAAAGGTACTAGGTGTAGGGCCATCTCGTGCCATGGCAACTCTCTATTGAATATGAGTTTTATTATCCATTTGTGTTGCAGTGCTTGAAATTGTATTGCTGGGTTTAAAAGGCCCAATCCCCCCTGATGCTTGGGTCTTGTGATGTATTTCCATGCTACCTTAGAAATGTAATGTTCGTTTTCGGCCTTTCCAGTCCAAAGATAAGACCCTTGCTTCTTTTTGAGGCTTGCGAAAAAGCTTGGTGGTGGATTCCAGAGGGAAGCCACGTACCATCCTGTTGATAGAATTGAAGTATTGAGTACTAAAGCTCTTCCCATGAGTGATACATTGGCTGCTTGCCATCCCGCCAGTCTATTTGCCATTTTGAGTAGGAGACTGGTTCCTGAGGAGTTGCTGGTTCCTCTGGATGATATTTGGATCCCTAGGAAACGGATCGGCTGCTGAGGGTCTAGCCATTGTATTCCTTGTGTGTCCTGGGTTTGTTGGGGAGGTTGGGAAGGAGCTAACCACCAGCCTATTGTCTTGTTCCAGTTGATTTTCATTTCAGCTGCTAACTGGAAGGCTTGCATTGCTCTTGTGAGGGCTTGGAACGAGGAGTCGGTCGCTCTGATGAGTACAGTCAGGTCGTCTGAGAATAGTATAGTTGTGGGAATAGCTAGTGATCTTCCATCTTGCTGGACTACTAGTCTTTCTATTGATGGGTCGTTACAGAGGTAGGCTGCTATTGCTTCCATCACGAAGAGGAAAATTGGTGTTGCTAGTGGATCTCCCTGTGGTACGGATCTGGTCATTTCATATTTCTCTGAGAGGTTCTCCACCTTCATGTGATGAAATGTGCGATTTGTGTGCTGTGAGATGCTGTTGAATTGCAGGGTCATTGCAGTACAATCTCTCGTCCTATATATCCTCCTGCATAGGAATCATGAGATCCACCAGGGCATGCATTGATATGAATACACTTGAGTTACGTCCACACTAGAAAGGGAAGCAAAACAAGTTGATGATGGTATTCAGCGTTGCTTCTATGCATGGGTGTACCGGAGTATCTTACCTTCATCAATTGCTGGACAACGTGTGGGTCTGATTTCTTCTTGGGGGCAGCCTCTGCAATTGGCCCACTACGCCCTGAGGAAAAGAGAGTGAACATCTCTTCATAAGAGGAATAATAACCTGGTGCAATAATTGATAGATAAAAACACATGGCATACAAAAAATGGAAATGGCTTCAGCAAGCATACATATTAAATACTCTACAGCTGAAGAGTACTCCATCAAGTTTCATAAGTTACATGAACCCTGAAACAGCAAACATATCTGTGAGACAGGAGCCATCCCTTGTGCAGCAAGTTAAAGGTCATAGAGCACACCAAACTGGAAAAAAAAGAAAAATAAAAATAAAAGAAGTGTGTGGCATACATACTCTCAATAGCGCATACTCTCAACAGTGAGAGCTGGACAGCTGTACTCCATCAGATAACTGTTATGAACGACACACCGTAATGATGCCCAGTAAGTCACAGCCCATACATGGAGCTGCTCAGGTCACCTCAAACCCTAGCAGTTGATCAACTGAAACAACTCATGATGTGCACACACAGACAAATAGAAATAGAGTATAGCCCAACTCCACTGGACCCTCTAGCTTTTTGTTTTTTTTTTGAAAGGTCCATGCCGTGGTAGAGGGTGGATGCTAGGCCTCGGGAGGTGACTGTCGTCGTGCTCAACCAGTGAGGGGATTGGATGGCTTGTGACAACCCCAAGGACAGTCTTTCCCCCAGGGGGGGTCATTCGTTACCTGTCATATCCTAATCTTTATCGCAAGTCGATCCCTACAGCGGTGCGACGCAGACCTCTCTATCTAAACCTAGACCTACACCAACCCGCACCTTCCGAGGGGTCATGGACACTTCCCCCTGGGCGCTACCATAGGGACACCCCGAGTCTCGAGGACGACCCGGATACAGGAGGGGTCACAGATATACACGGTGATTCCCCCCCTGTATCACATCGTGCAAACTCTATAGGCGGTGAAGTCACCCTTCTACATCAATGCGACAACCCTCCCCCCCCCTGCCTAAGATGACACCCTACCTAGAAGCCCTTCCCCAGACTCACGCCCCAGTCGACCCCTCAGTGGGAACTCAGACAGACACCAACCCGGATGAAGCCCAGCCCACAAGCATTGTGAGATCAACCTGAAGCCAGTGTGTGGAAATCGTATATGCCTAACACCCAACCACTACTACTACTCAAGGGGGTGTAGAGAGTGGGGCCTACCCGGGACCTAGGATCGTACGATGTGGGTATGGACTCTCGTGGGTGGATCATCAGGTCGGGAAACAACCGTGGTACCCAGACGCACCCAGATACACCTACAGAGCAGCCCATACGAACGAAGCGAGACAGGTCCACAATCCCTACACAGAGTCCTATCTACCCATCCCAGCCCCCCCCCTTATCTATCATCCCACCCCCATCTATCCCCTCTACCCCCGCCCATGATGAGTACACGAGACAGACCTAGAGATCATCGGACCATACTCAACACACAGCCCACACACAGACACTGAACACTCATCAGACCCCTTAAGGCCACCACTCAAACAGTCCTCCCCCTAAAGCCCCCTACCAGCATACCACAATCATGGACCTAACCCCGTGGGTGGTGCGCAGACAGTGTCTGTAATAAGTACCATTCGTCAGCCCAAGGGGGGTGTGCGAATGGCTGGGCGCTATGAAAGCGCCTAACGGCGGACGTGCGTGAGGCCACAGAGTTTTGAACCTGCGACCTCATACCACAATGCGCATTTCCAGCCGGTGCTCTAACCAGCGACCCACCAGCCATTCACTTTTTTTTTTTTTTTCAACAACAAAAACTTTTTTTTTTATTATGGACCCAACCTAGGCTGTTTTCCCGGGCGTCCGGCACCCAACTTCTGCCCGGGTACACGCCCGGGTGCCCGGCCGGGCATGACCCCCGGGCAGGGTTCCGGGCAGCCCCAGCGCCAAAAAAAAAAAA